TCCCAGCAGAACAACCTGGCCCTAGGGCTGGGCAATTAATCGAAAATTAATCAAAACCGATATTCAGAAACTGTAATAAACATAATCTCGCCCATGTCGGTTACTTTGTTATTTTTTTTTGTTTTTTTGTTAAATTATGTCCTCCCCTGGAGCTGACACCTTGTCGTGGACGAGGGGTTTGCGTGTTCCAATGATCCCAGGAGCTAAGTTGCCCGGGGCTTTAAGCCCCTGGTAGGGTCACCCAAGGCAAACAGGTCCTAGGTGAGGAACCAGACGAGGTGCGGCTCACAAGACCCCTTATGATGAGTTATAACATGGATCCACGATTTCCCTTGCCCGGATGCACCGGGCCCCCCCCCCTGGAGCCAGGCCTGAGGGTGGGGCTCGATGGCGAGCGCCTGGTGGCCAGGCCTACACCCAAGTCCCCGGGAGGTGATAAAGATAGTCTGTCAATCAGGAATGTAGACTCATCAAGGTTTATGAAACTTAACTGGCAAAAACGAGCCAACTAGATGCAGCAGCGAAAATATTATAAGCTATATTTCATGTACAGTACTGCACTGTATTATAGTGTATTTGAATTATACACAGTTCAGTAATTTAATTTGTGCATTATTGTAATTTGAAAAGTGTTTGGAACAGCTGTACTGTATTTTTAGTCAATGACATTCATTAAATAGCGACACTGTCTGTTTTACCTTATATTCTTGTAATAAAAATATAATTGTCAATTTTAAGTCATCGGCCTGAGACATAAAATGAAAAAAAAAACGGTTATAATGATCATCAGCTTATAGTGATCAATTTCACCCAGACAGACGCGATCACTATAAATGGTTTATTTTGTTTCCAAGAAAGACAAACTATTAAATTTCTACCTTTTTAGGGAACTTGTTTTTTACTTTAAAATTTTTCATAAAACCTTTTCATTTCAAGTGATTTGTGCTTTGATTTCAGTTATTTGAAATATTCAATAAATAACCATAAATGGTTCACCTGTGTGTTTCCTTACATTATTTAAAAATGATAAAGATATACAGACTTTCATTAGAAAAAACATCCCAGCTTTAACAGTTAACAGCATATTTACAGTACAGACCTTGTCAATGAAATATGAGGGCAAAAAAAAACAAACAAAAAACAGAATAATCGTTCATTAATCTTAATTGAGGTAAAATGTTTGAGGTCATATTGCCCAGCCCTAGCTGGCCCTTTAATACATGAGCATCATCTCCCCAGCATCATGGCCATTCGGGGAAGTAAAATAAATTTCATGATTGGGGCAAGTACATTATATCTATTATCAAAAATGATCTTTCTCCACTTTGGTAGTTTACAGATTTTGCAGACATTTCAAAAGGAAAAAAATCCAAGTGCTGTGGGTGTGCAGTGGATGTGCAGTGGATGTGCAGTGGATGTGCAGTGGTCATTATGGGAGGGGCTGGGGTTCCACAGGCCCCTCCCTGGCATTGCCACTGGCAGCTGGTGCATGCTGGGGGGTAGATGAGCCTGGACCCCTATTGATCTCGTGCTCTCACGCTGTCGACGATGTGTTAGCGTCACGGAGAGACAGGGGGTGCTGCGGGGTCACCGCCTCGAATCTGCGAACTCACAAATCGACCGCCGGGTCAAAGGGGCTTATTATCCTCCCCGTGTGCAGCTGCCATTTTCCCAGGTTGTTTCTACACTGCAATCAGCACCACAGCTACCGTGTTACACTACTATTATTATTCTGGGTAGAAGCAGCCGGAGTCTTCACTGCAATCCAAACATCTCATCAGCTGTTGGCCGGGAGCAGCTGGTTTGTGGGTCCTCACTATGTCAGCCATATCTACTATACTACTGTTTTGTTTGTTTTTCCAATAAAACAAAACAGATCGGCTCTACCAAGATCTAATGTATACTTGGTATTAATATTAATCAATTAAGCCCTTTTATGCACTGTGCTTCCGCCCTGTCACATGTGCTGGTCCATCACCATGCCCCTATCCAGGTCAAACCATTGGATGATGATTGGATGGATATATTAATTACAATACAAGAGATTTGCTGTGGATTAACTAATTCCAGAACTGATTGAACTTGAGCATTTATACATTTGCGACTTGCTGTACCGGAAACCTCTGGTAAACCCTCTGTTGTAGTTACCTGAAAAATGTCTGATCAGTTGAATTTTATTACACCGGTTATAGGAGAAGTCTTTCTCACAGAATTATTCTGAGTGCTCATAAACAGATGATGTCAGGCATAGCCGGTCTTCTTTCACTCTGATGTCACTGCAGTCCTGATTAGTATTCGCACCCTGGCCAGATGCTGATCACTGCTATTGAGGAATGCATGGCGGCAGTGAACACACTGCCCTGCTGTCATCTCGCGCCTTTCCTAACTGTAAGGTGCCTTCTATTCACCCACAGTTGTTCTGCAATCGCACTGAGAGAATGACATCATTTTGGGTTCCTGCTCTGGCTGTCTTAACCCCCTAGGGACCAAACAGAGTTGGTGATGCGGACATATCGTAGGACAGGATTCACATAATAATGCTTTTTATCTACTGGGGAGGCCGCACCCTCGTCCCTGACACAACTGTGACAGCAGCTCAACTTGGTTATGTGAAAAAAAATGTCTTCATGTGCACCAGTGTGAAAAGTGGAATAAGTAACATTTTTGTATATTTTCCTGTCCTATTCAATTTTTCTTCTAAAATATAAAACCTGCCCCTCACTCTCAGTACCTGCCCCCCCAACAATGACCGCTAACCCCTTAGGAGTTCGTTTGACCGTGTTTCATCAGCATAATTTGTACTTTTGGACATTTCTTTCTAAAGCCATCTATCAATGGTCTTGGTTGAAATGGTCAGGGAATAATTTTCATTTTTCATACTATATAAAATGAAATTTGATTGATTGATTGACTGACTGATTATGTGACTGAAATCACAACCAGGAATGAATATGATCTGAATTTTGCCGGGTATTTTTTGGGCTGAAATTAGGGAAAAAAAACTGACAAATTGCAGGTCTAAATCAAACTCACTCACCGCTTCAACACTGAAACTAATGACGCCAGATGGTCTTACTGTTAACGAGGTGTGGCTGGAATGCTGACGATATTTATGCAGTGGAAATGTATTAAATTCAGTCAGGAACTTACTTGAGAAACTATCGCTGAGAACATCAAAACCTGAGGTTTCCCTGTTATGGTGAGAACACAATTTCAGGTCATTTACTCTTCGTTAGCATGGTGTTCAAAGCCTGTTCCAAACAAATGGTCAGCTAAAAGTATCTATTTTCCCCCGTGTCAATGTGATGAAATTATGCACAAATGGAAGTCTAGAAACACAAATACAATCTGATAAAAATGGATCTATGCTTACTGAATAGGACACACAATCATTTGAGACTGCTCATTAGCATTAATTATTAAGTCTGTAGCAGGTTTAGTTAACAGTTTAAGTAACGGGAAATACGATTTAATTAATTTACAACATTTAAGAAAAAAATGCATATTGGATTAATTGAATTTTTAAATTTTTTTGTTAATGCAAAATAATGGAAATAGACTTGACTGTGAGAATTATAGAATATTATCAGACTAGAATTCAGTTCAATGTAACATTTCTTGAACAATAGCATTCTAATGAATAATGTCTGTATGTTAAAACGGCAAATCTCGCTGCAGTTGAATGTGGTTGTTAGTGCTTGTAATACTGATCTTCATTCAATTTAAACTTCAAATATGTAAGCAAAACATTTTCAATGCAAAACAGTCACCTCTAATGTTACAGGCATCACAGGGAAAATGCAGAGACAACAAACTTTGCTGTGAAGGAAGCATTCTTATGCTCATTAATTTCATCCATCTTCTATATGGAAGGGGTGCCATCCGATCTCACACACATTGTAACACACATTGTCACACACAGGATAGAGACACCATCACATGTTTCTGATCATGTTATAGGAAACTAAAGTATGTGGAGAAAATCCTCGCAAACAGAGGTAGAACTTCACACATCTAACGCTGCAAGCCAGCGTGCCACCCCTGCTCTTCATCAAATCACGTTATAAAGCAGATTCGTCTGCACATTCATTGAAAGTGGAAGGGACTGCTATGATGCACCAGTGCCGCTATGATGCACCAGTGCCGCTGTGATGCACCAGTGCCTCTGTGATGCACCAGTGCCGCTGTGATGCACCAGTGCCGCCTCACCCACTGCAAGGTGCGTGACTTCTGGTGGCTTCAGAAGACCTCAGCTGCTTGGTCTCTGGAAACCGGTGTTGATGCATTAAAGCAAATTAAGGACAAAGCACCAGAAATTATTCCTGTCCTCAAAAGGGCTGCCATACAGTGACAGTTTAGCAGAATTAGACCTATTCAGTCCTGAATGAGGGAGGCCCTGATCCTCATTCGTGTCCTAAGGACTGTACTGCCAATGCAAATAATTAAATTAACATTTTCAGAAGGAGACAGTGGAAAAGCAGATTTGTGAGAAAGAACCGTATTTTTGCATTAAGTGTGGTAGGGATTTCAAATGAGCTTTTAACTGTTATAATATATAAATTGTTATATTATACATTCCTCATGTTCATTGAAGTCAGCACTTATTTGATCGATGCATTATTTATCGAACATCCAAGCAGCAAATGTAGACTGTTTGTTTGGCCTCTTGCTGGTGACGCCTGTTTACGTCTCTTACGTCCATCTTGCTGATGGTTTATGAACATGTTTGTTTTCTCAGTCAGACTGAAGGTGCTGTTCAAAAGTCATCCATAGAAAAAAAGAGCAATGTTTATCAAATAGTAAGTAAAAAGGCAGTTTAAAAATGTACTGAGGTTCTATTAAAAGATTGAAATGAAAATAACATAAAAAAGAAAAGCATTTCACATAATGGAATAATGAAATAACAATTTTATTGTTAAACCGCATCAGAGGAATCCCTTTATTCAACAGGAGACATTCATCAAAGGGAACCAAAAGAATTCTTGCACTGGACAAAAAAGTACCTTAACATGCTTTATTGTAATTTCAGTTTTAACCATCAACAAATAAATAAGTAAAGAAATACATAAATAAATAGATCTCATAATCGTTATTCTTTACAGCGAACAAGACAGCGCCAATAAAGTCCATAGAGAGCCTGTGCAGGGCGGAGATGATGGCGAGTACAGCACAGGTCTGCCACAGTTCATGTCGAGCCGTGGGGGGGTGTGGCAGGGGGCGAGATTTAAGAGGGGTTGGCTCTGTTAGCAGGAGGTGAAGGTTTTCCAGAAGAAGTTCTTACAAGGAGCCTTGCGGTCTCGCTGTGGCAGCTGGGATAGCCGGTTGTAGATGGCCCTTTCCTCCAGGTGGGGCTCCTGAGGCTCTTCCATGCCCCCGGGGGTCATATCCGCCCCCAGCATGTTGCTGTCCATCCCGTCCAAAAGGCTGGAGACCACCCTGAGGATGCGCTCCTTGTTCCGCTCCTGTGGAGACACAGTGAGCCGGGATTTCAGGAGGCAGAGGGCAGAGCGTTCCTGCTCGGGGAGCGAGGAAACACTGAGGAGAGTCCTGATTACCGGCGTGATCCTCGCCGAACAGCGACGGCGAGTCTCACGTGCGAAATGCGACTGCTGCATATAATACATCCTCCCAGGAAACTCCCATGGAGTTACGACAAATAAAATCCCAAGCGTTACTGAAGAGACGTGCAAGTTAAACCCACACTTTCAGCTATTCATTTGTAGAATCACTCTTAACATGTTCTTATATATATACACACACACACACACACACACACTTTGTATCATCATATTAATGGTGATATAAAGTTTCAGTATTAATTGGACTGTTGCAGATTTTTAACTCTGACATACTGCATGTGGATTTGTTCTCTTGATATTTTGGCAGAGCTCACCGAAAGTTCGCTTATTCGGTTAGCATGGACCCCATTTCAGACTTTGCAAAGTAAAACAGAGCTACACATTATTATTTTCTTAATGTGTCAAACATTCTGTCACTGTGCATATCTGAGTCTCACAGCTGTTGCTTATTTAGTACCTGCTGCGACGTGTTAAAATTCCCCGATAAAGAAGGAAAGTCGTATATCTGTATATAAATAACATTACAATGCGCTATAAAGAAGCAGTGAAGGAAACGCAGAAAATCAGCGCAAAGCAAAGTGGCAAGTGGTCACTCACCCTGTCTGCATGTGCCAAGCTCCTCTCTTCCACAGGAGGCACAGCGGCCGCCTTGACGGTGTACAGAAGCAGCACCAGGGACAGGAAGCTGGCCGCAAGCTGCATGCTGACACACCGGAGGGACAGGGGACAGAGCCGGAGAGTGTGGAGAGACAGAGAGAGAAAGAGTGACACAGGCAGATGTGCAGGGATGGCTCGTGTGCTCAGAGACAGAGAGAAAGGGAGAGAGAGAGAAAGAGAGAGAGAGGAATACAGAGTGAGAGACCAGGCTTGGAGCAGGTGATGCAGCGAGAGCCCAGCAAAGAGGTGCCCTTATCCTCCAAGGACGGTCGCTTCAGCTCATGTGCCAAGGAGCAAAGCTTTTATATATACGAGCCTCTCACAGTCCACGACTGGACATGGGGATGACGCAGGGCTTGTCGGGGGTGGGTAACAAGGGGGGCTTGTGGGGGCTGATAAAAATAAATAAATACATACATACATAAACTCGAACCAAAAAGCATAACAAGTCACGGATCAGATTCCAGAGAATGGTTAGCGCCGCACCGATCGGACAGCAATGTTTCATGCATCTCCTTTTGTTTGTTGACCTATGCATAATTTCACTCCGCTTCAGCGGCTGATTGATTTTGTTACAAAGATCATAGAGTGAAACAATGACATTTTGAGGATAGATCTGTTTCTTGTGCTCATTCCGCTCATGTGGAAAAAAAACCCAGAAAATGTAGTATTGTAGTATGCTGTGTTGTGAAGAGAAAGAACTCAAAACCCAGTGCCTTAGAGCATTCTCAGATACACTGCATTAGGCTATTTCATTTTTAATATCGGTGTAGTTTGTAATAATAATGTCGTTGCGGGGACAGCTACTTATTAGCAAAAGGTCAACAAACATAAGGACACAACATTAAATATAACAATATACACAATAATGTATCTTATTTTCCAGCAATTGTTATTTTCTACAGGTCTCAGGTACTGGGGAATGGAAAGGCAAGATATTCCTTCTTTTGAGTTACTATTTTAAAATAATTCAGCTAGTTCAGTTAAGCCCTTTATTCGAGATAACCTGCAGGTTCATTGTTTTACATTTTGTCCATTAAGACTGAGCAAACAAAGCAGCTGAAATACCGAATGAACTTTAAATCATCGGGTTTAATAAAATGGACATTATATTCCATTCACTTTTATGCTTTATTTCTGTTACATTAAATTTTGGAGTTTGAATGTTCTCCCTGTATCGCTCAGGTTTGTTCTGGGTACTTGAGATGTCTACCACAGTGCAGGCGTGCAGATGGGCTAATCTCTAAGTTGCCCGTGGTTGTATGGTTGTGTGCATCTATGTGCCTGTGAGCAGTGGCCCCCCGCCCCACACAGGGTGTCCCCCTGCCTTATGCCCTATAATGCCCAGGTACCGGGCCCCGGGCACCCAGCTCAGGAAAAGCTGTCAGGATATAAATGGATATTATGTGAAACTTCTTATGTCAAATGTAAATGTGAAGGCAAAGCAGCGAGATTTAAAAAGGTGAAAATTTCAGACAAGGATAAAAAACTGGTAGGCAAAGAAAACAAGGTCAGTTTTAGTTTCAAAATCTAGCTGAAGCTAAGGGATATACAGCAAACAGCTACACCTTCAGATTAAAATCGAACCGTCTGACACCTGAGATGACAAGGGCGCCAAATGCAGTAAATTATGGATGAACATAACCCCCCCCCCCCCCCCGGGGCAAACACAGATAAAATCTGATAGTATGGGGCAGGTGGCAGTCGGCAGGCCCATGAGTTAAATTTCAGAGGGAATGAGTCGTGTATAAAAGGAAGGAAGCTGCCGGATGTTCTGGAGATGGTGTTCCGGTCCAGCCCGTGATTTGCGGCCTCGTCGAGCGACCTGCTGGTTCGGCTGCTCACTTTTATTAAACAAAGCCTCTGTGTGTGTGTGTGTAAGTGTGTGTGTGTCTCACTGAGTGTGTATGTGTGTGTGTTATATATATGCGTGAAGTTTGGAACAGGTACCCTATAGTCAAGTCGAGCAATCCCAACAGAGCAAAAATTAAAAGGATAACAAGAAATTATTCACAGCTCCAGGCTGATGTTAATACCCAGTTCCAGAATGAATAAACCTGACTACGGATATCACTATTTTCCACGAAAACATGATTGTAGTTATATATATAAGATCACATATATATCTCACATTCATAAGAGAGATTATTTTTCTCAAGTAACAGATGTTCCTATCATGCCCTACAAATGTAGCGTATTTCGTCTTTGCGCACAATAACAATTCTAAACATTGACATAATTAGCACCTTAAATAGCCCTAAATTGTTTAACAGAGCAGCGCCATAACCAGTAATCGAACCAACACTCGTTTGGTAGCAAAACTGAGCCCATGCAGCACAGGAGATAGACTGCAAACGGACTAGGATGTTGGGTGTATGAACATGGGCTGTTAAAAATGTGATAAGTACCTATGTGCTTATTTTATTAAAATGACAACGTGCAATAACTCAGACTTCGTCTGCCAATCGGATTATTGTAAAAGTTGTCCTATAGAGTTAAACACCGTCAATGGATTACAGATTAAGGTAAACCAGAACTCCTTAACATAGTTTAGATTATCTGTCATAGTTAATCAATCTTTGTCTTACTTTAAAGATGTGTTGAAGGCTCGTGTTGAAAGTTATTCATTGAGTGAACTGATAATTAGGCCCAATGTTTTCCATCCCTCCTCTTTCTATCTGGATTTCGAAGAATGAAACCAACAGTTCAAATATATTTCAAGAAAATGGAATATAAGTAAGATATATGGCGATATTTTGATTTGAGGAGATCCATTAAAACACTGCTGTAGTGAACACAAGGCCCCGGAGAGCAACAGAACAACTTTGTCATGAATTATAACGTCAAATAAGCAATAAATACTAAATACCCAATTTTATGTAGGCGTATAAGTTAGTAAATTATACTTCGAAATAACTTGAGGCTAATAGGCATATGATTTCAGATTTAGTTAAATAAAACCACAGCAAACAGGCTACATTTGGTCATAAGCTGAATTGTAATCTCGTTAATTATACGTGAATTTAACTTTGCTTGTTTTTATTAGACTTTCTTGATGTTCACGGATTAGTTGGACTTGATCGGTGATGTTTGATCGGTGACCTTTCCCCTGCTCCGGCGGCGTCTGGCTTCCCGTCCATCGACTATATGCTCAAATCCCAAGACCGCGTCCGGGAATTAAAAAAGGTCTAAAAGCGGAACCACCGCCCCCCCCCCTTTCCCGCGCCTTACACGGATGATAGGAAACAACAATTAGAAGCTGTTATGGGAGTTAATGCACTACAAACTTTAACAACAAACCGTGTCTATAGTTGAACTCAAAATACTTGAGCGATGAAGAAATACTCATTTGTGCTTAAAATCATGGCTGTGAGCTGTTGAATAAACACAACATTTTACTTGGCCAAATGTGATGGGGAAAACACTTGAAACGCACTAAAGGGTTTTCTGGTGCGTATCGATGAGCACCTTAGGAAACGCCAAGAGCACAATCATGTTGCCGCAGGAGGAAACTTCAGCCTCTTTACGGTAATTTGAACGTGCAAAGATTATCTAGCTGTGGGTGATCTGGGTTCTTCCCCGCCCAGTTTCAATCCCGGCGATCTTCGACGAAGCGCTTCTGATGGATGACAAAGCGACCGAAACAGCGGAGCAATTTTAGCCAATTCAGTCAATTAGGCTTTTTAGTCAATGCGAGCATAGGTCAAAGGAGTATGGAAGTGGTCTGTTGAATATAAAATTTGCAGAAAATCGAATAATCTATTCGTGCCGTCTATAAGAAAGCAATGGGCAATTTTGAGTTACAGTTTACAGTGGGGCCAATGTGATGAGTTTTAGTATTTCTGCTGTCGAATTTAAGTGGGATAAAAGCAATTAAAAAATAACGTTTCGGAATTTATATGAATTAATCCATGTCCGCATTATGATGAAACAGGAAAAAGTCAGACACAGGCTTGGATATACAGAATATGTTTATAGCACTTAACATCCTGAAAGAAATATTTTTGTGTAGTGAATGAGTTAAGGGATCACCCAGATGCTATGCATAAACCGAGACAAAAAAAATTTCTTCAAACTACAAAGTGAACTGGTTGGAATACAAAGGAAAAAATGGAAGAAAAAAAATCAAAGGAATGGAAGGTAAGAAAGGAAGTATAAAATGGTACCCAAAAGCAAATAGAAAATAGCAAAGAGTGGTGATTTCTGAGATGTAAGGTCTAGAACAACGAACACTTCAGAAAAACGCTGAGGTTTGCAACTGAATTTTGAAGTTACCGAGTACAATAGTATAAATTGATTCCACGTTTTATAATTAAAACGTTGACATTTATCTCGGCCACACCTGTTCAAATTATTCGTATAGCCTAATTTATTCTGTCCTGGCGGATAACAGAACTTTATAACTGTACCAGTCTGGGTCAACAAAAGATAAAAGTTTAATGCATATCACATAATTAAACGCGAGGGATTTTCTATTTATTCCGTCGTTTTCTATTTGGAGATCACTGGGAAAAGGTTTACCCACCTTATCCATCACTTAATTGATTTTAAGCTGCGAGTCCCGCAGCATCGGGCGTGACAGCTCGCATTGCATCATAGCGGGAGTCAGACGCGACCCCGCGGGCCGCGCGGGCATCGCCGCCACCGCACCGGCTTATGGTAGCTTATCGCGAAAATGCGCTTTGAACGAGCGTGGAACCAAAATGACATGATGTCTTCACCTGCAGCAGCCTGACATTAAACCAGAAATAGAATCACCACAAACTTGCATACCGCACTTATTTCAAGCAACGTCAAATAATTTTATAGGGAAAAGCACACATGCAGTGATGCACACAAATATGACCCGTCACATACCCAAACACTTACGTCAGAGGATAACTTACGCTATGCTGTATAACGACCGAATGATCTGGCATCGGTAATCTGAAGCGAGGCATCAGTCAGAGTCACCGAGTGACATCAGTCACAGGTGGAACCGGTAAAGAAAATTACTTGCTGATGTGATTAAACTCATTACTTGCCCTATATGTTTTGGAGTCCATATGCTTTGAACTGTGACATATTTACTGAGCATAAACCTTTAAACAACCAAATTGTATGCTATATACAGGTTATATAACACCTCGTTATTTAAACGTATCGCTAACAAAGCACAGTTATAGGCCTACATAAATGTTGGTTACTGGAATTTCAGCTCACAATTATTATTGTAAAATGCGTTCTTTTTGGGGACTTCACGTGCTATTGTAAGGAACCGTCTTACAGAGAGCACATAAACGGACGTGCAGACACCTCATTCAGGGCTAATAGTGTCAGAAAACACATTTGAGGAGGACGCCATCTTGTGGTTAACTGGTGAACATAAAATATTCCAAGACTACAGAATTCATTAAAACCATTTGTCTCTGATCTCGTTATAAACTCCTTTTTGGTCATATTTTGACAGAAAATACGCCGAATCTAGTGTTCTTTGCGATTAATATCAAGTCTCTGTCAGCAACTGCATGGCCCGCAAACAATAACAATGTAAATCTAGAATCGTTAAAGCGTCAAAGATCGACCTATTTTCCCCGATTTCCTGCATTAGCTATGTGATTGATGTCACATTTAAGAGATATCAGGAATATTGACAATGTGCCACACATTTAAGTCATTATTAGCTACAAGATACATATACTCTATGAATACAAACTCTCCACTGGTAAATCAAATAATGTTGATTACCAATGAACCTTTCGGGGCAGCAATTAATATATTGGTTCAATAACCTGGGTACAGGGGTGTCAGAGGGGCATGGATACCCTGGCAGATTCAAGGGGCCCAAAAAATGACAGGGGGACAATAATATGTAAAATATACATAAAATTAGGTTGAGGGCCCAAAGTAACATTTTGTCAGGGGACCCAGAATTTCTAGGTATAAAAACAGAAAATATCTTTGGTTTAAAGATTCACCTAAGTGCTGAAATAATGTGGTCAGCAGATTGTTTAACTGGCCAGTTTATAATGCAGTGACCAAAGAAACTCTTACTGCATCAGACCAGGGGTGAGGAACCAGACCCATGGAGGGCCAGTGCAGGTTTTTGGGATGACCTGTTAGCCAATGACAGAGGGTCCCCAGGACAGGAGTTGAGAACCACTGCTTTATTATTGGCTGATTGAGAGGTCACCCTATAAACCTGCACCCACAGCAGCTCTCCTCTCCACCCCTGCATTAGACCAGGTTTTCCCAACCCAGTCCTTGGGGACCCACAGTGCATTCTTGCTTCTTCCCAGCTCCTTTGCAAAAACGTGGACTGTCCGCAGGTTCCTCAGGACCGGGTTGGGAAACACTGCATCAGATTATTTCCAAAGGGGCTCCAGAGTGTTAATAAGCCAAACACTTTCATTCAAGGTCCTCGTTTCATCTCTTTTATTGAGTGTAGAAGACTTTACAAAAATCAATATGGAACTGCTTGAACACAGACACGCTGCAATAGTTAGCATTCTCTGAAGCTAATTATCAAATTTACTGGAAATCATGGCTTCTTGCTTCAAGGTTAGATGACCTCATTTTCATGCATCCCCCAAATGAGTGCCGTATCACACCTGACTGTAAAATACAAAGTAAAACGTTCTGCTCTCTGCAAACCTTTTAACTCCTGCTCTTTGCCGTCACATAGTGGTTGTGTACAGAACATATTTAATACTAATGATCCTTAACCGCATGATTATTAACCTCATACAAGACCTCTCACTTTCTAACACTATTCCATCAATTTCCAAGTTAGTAATGTTATAATATTAATAATCGTAGCTGAATTTTATACAGTATTATATTTTATCATTTTACACCTCCCAACAACTGTGCGACACCAGTAATATGTGACCATGTTAAGCGACCAGAAGATGATATACATAACAAAAATACAATAAAACATCTCCCTTACAACAGTAAGTGTACAATAAAACAGTGGAATATGGAATCCATCATAGATTTTCTTAATATTATGATGTGTAATCCTGAGATGTGTTATTTATTAAAACTGGGTATAACTTACTAACACGGGTGGAAAGTGTACATTTTAGTTATATAGTACCTTAAAAACATGACCTGTAATTTGAAAACAAAACTTTCTCTATTGCGACTGACCCAGCAGGTGTTGTTCACTGGATGTACAGATGAAACGGACGTCAAGACCCGAAGAATAAATTAGAAACAATAAAAGACTGTAAGACTGGAAGGGGCTGGAATTTACTGCTGCAGCGAAGCCTGAATTCCACACAGAGGTTGCCATTCCCTCTCAGGTGACCTTCCACGTCTCAGCCTGACTTCAACACTTCCATCCGAAGTCCCCCATCTCCAATCAGCTCTGGGCAGAGATGCAGCTTCCAAGAGGTTTCAAGTACAGCATCGGTGGTGAGGGTTTTGTTCAGTCTGCATGAAAGGCCATGCGCATCACAGACGCTGCTCAGGGAGCCACTCTTACTTGCTCTCACTTAGCACCTGTAGGAGGAAGCAGTGAGACGGACCTGGTTGGTCATTAAGGAGCTTCCAGACGGGTAATGAGCATTTAACTAAAGGCCATGTCCAGAAACCAAAGTAAGGACGGCTTCAGATTTGTTTTTTTGAAGATTTAAGTCACTGCTTTCATTAAACTGAGCTACACCAGGCACTGCTGGTTATATCTTTTCAGTGCCATAGCCAAGAACTACATGAGGGGGCCCCCCCCCACCCAAGAAAAATGATAATCATTTCACTTGCTATGTAACACAGGTAATTCAGGGACCCTGGGCTGCTCCCCATTCTGCCTTCAGCCGGCAATGTTTCTGCGTGTAAATAAACATTTTATTGGTGTGGTTTGTGTGGGGCCCCTCATGCCGAATTCACCTTCACCTGGATCCGGCCCTGATAATCAGATCCACGCCACAGCCCTGCCTTTTTGTTAACGATGGCTTCGTTACCTTCCTGGCAAACTCTGGGAGGACAAACGCCGCCCTGTGCACGTCCGAGTTGTAGTACTTCAACTTCATATTCTCCACCTCCTCCTTGGGCAGTTCTCTCACAGGTTCACGGAAATTGGTCACCTAAGTGTCCAGAAACACGTTAGCAAATGGGAACAGGAGCTGACCACACACAATGCAACAAACTGTGGCAGCCATGGAATTTTCCACTAAGCAAATGGGTATAGTATGAATAATTATAGAAATATAATCTTGGTCAGTCACCGGGTTTTTACTGCAGAGCATGAAGCCGATCTGGCCACTGGGGTAGGTGGGGATGGTGCAGTAGGCATAGTCCACCACAGGGAAGAGAGTCTTGGAGAAGCTGTACATCTCCTTGATGAGCTCCAGGTGGAGCCACTGACACTCACCTGTAAGGAACACCCTTCGTCACACTAATTACAGACAACTGAAATGCATTACTGCTACAGAGCTGCTGCACAGACAAACTCGCATTTCCTGCACCTGGCCACAGCTGGACACACACACTGAAGCTGGCAATCCTCCTGTCCTGCAGTGCACTGAAGGTACCCCCCCCCCCATCACAGCTGCAGGTCTTTAACCTGCGTAAGCAGCTGGCCAGTACTTCGCCGTGACTGCATCTCTCGAAAGACACTGTCTAGAATGGCATTACCTTTGTAGGTTGCATTTTTCAAGGGTCGCCCGGTGAGTGTTATCAAATGGGACGGTCTGGCCATTACCAGCTGTTCCCGTCCTTACCCTCGAGTCACAGGGTGGCCCTCATCGTCTAGCAGGGACACCCCCCACTTGTACTCTGTGCAATGAATCTTGGGATATGTGGAGCTGCGTAGGAGCTGCGTAGGAGCCACTGGGTGGATGCTTCACAACTTGACAAGAGGACGACGCATCTCTAGACCATATTTGAAGGAGCCTTCCGAATGGGACAGCCTTGTCGCACCGCTGTGAGGCCTCTTCCAATACAGCCTTACGGCTGATTCATACTTCTGAGTCGATTAGACGCTGTAAGTATGACGCAGCCATGGACCCTATTGCGCAGCCTGACACGCACCTCCCAAGAAGTGTACACATCGCAGACAATAAGAATTGCAACTGGTCTGCTTGGTAGCAATAATTCTTTTATGGGAGCGAAGAAAGCGTACATCCCAGATGTACTTATATCGCTGATTGAAAGTGAAGCGATATTTATATTGAGCATTAAATAACCCACCCTGGGGATCATGGCAACCGGGCTACAGATCTCTCCGGATGATGGCCACAGCCCTTGAGACTTTCAGCTCACTTTTAACGGGCATATTTTGGGTCACCTCTGGGAGTTTAAACAGCATATGAAGAACACGTGCACAAAATAGGTGCAGTACAGCACCCAGCTTCACATTACCTTGGCAACAGAGGATCCCCCCGTCCCGCAGGGCTGTCTTCATGAGCTGATAGTAAGACTCCTTAAACAAGCTCTCTGCTGGGCCTGAAGACCCAAGTGACAGGAGACAAAACACAGGCTCAATCCCAAAGCAATGGAAAAGTAAAGCAGAGTTGATCAAAAACCTTTTGAGAAGGCAGCATCACAAAGACGATGCCATTTAAGTCTGTAAATTCAGGATGTGATGAGAAAGATAATGAAAGCAGTAAACGTAAAGCAGGTGGTGTCATGGGATGAGCAATTACATTTACAGAAATCAAAACTATTGTACCCTTACACTAAACTGTGATTAGACGTTCCTCTACTGACGAACTTTTAGACATTTGAGCGAAGAGGACTCTAAGTCCAAATTGTGTTCATTGGGCTCCTGTCTCCTGTCAGCAACATCAATTTTTTTTTTCTGTGCGCCAGTTCCGCCCAGTACGACTTCTGGCCGCTGCTCCCGCCGTGCAGCAGCGTAGCGTGCGGACTCCCAGCATCCTAGTTCTTAGTACTTGCGTATACTCTTAAAATGAATAACGAATCACGAACATTTCAAGTTACGAACGGCCGTTCGTAAGTAGAGGAGCATCTGTAGTCTAAAATTCCTCTGAAGAATTCGGTGAGGTGTAAATCCATGATATGTTGCTTAGCAACTTCATATGCTAACAGACGTCTATGAATCATGGTATTAGCAGAAAGTAATGCAGCGCATCCAGTCGAAGCTGGAATTTCTTACCAACAGGGTCAGAGGAATCTGTGATGATGACATCAAAGGCATCCTGATTTTGTTTCATGAACTCAAAGCCATCTCCCACATTTAGAGTTAGCTTAGGGCTGAAGAAGCCATTCGCCATTCCGGGCAGGTACTTCTTTGAGACATTTATCACATCCTACGAAGACAAAGGGAGTGACGGATTTATAGGCTGTTGGCACTGGTAACCGAGCAGAAAAACATCAACATCGGAGCCCCACGTGAGGGACGAACTTCTCCATTCCTCACCTCATCAATTTCACACTGAACCACAGACTCCACTAGAGGATGTTTCACCACTTCTCTCAGGACACCACCATCTCCACCGCCGATTATCAGGACCTGGGGGGGGGGTGTCAGTGAGGCATGAAGACTGCAGTAGCATCAAAATAGAAATGCCTAACCCTATCCAGCTGGAATTATTACTATTAAAAAAGTTATAATTTAGGCAACTTAAATTTAGGTGCCAATAAAAGGCAGAAAGGAGAAAGTGATATTCAATATTGCAGAACATCCCACAAGAGGACAGACACTCCATCTGTTTGCCACAAGCAAGCAATACCTTTTTGGGACATGGGTGGCAGCACAGAGGTAGATTGGCAATCATTTCTTGATAGGAAAATTCATCACGTTCAGTGCACTGGATAACACCATCCAACACCAGGACATTTCCATAGGTCTTACTGTGGAGATTTAAAGGAGATAATGGCAGGTTAAAAAGGGAAAAGAAACAAGAGTGACATAGAGAAGCCCTTAGAAACACGGAAACCTTTCCATGGGATATTTGACTGATACAGGTTACATGACAGAACAAAGAACCTTTAGCCACGCAGGCAAACCAGCCACTCCTTCAATGTCGAAGCCATTTTTTGGAACTAAAAGTTATAAACCAAGCTGCTAATATAAACCTAATTAAATCCTCAGTGCCACAAAAAGGACATGCTTCAACTGGATATTATTATTAGAATTAACAACATTATACAAACCATGATTTTTTTTTAATTAAATTTTTTGTTAAAATGCGTATTTAATAACTATTAAGAATGGGCTGGGAAATAGGATATTAAAGGGAGACGTTGGCACAAAAAAAAGTTTTAATTCTTTGGGATGTTGACAACTTCTCACCTAATTTTGGAGATGGTTAAAGCAGGGCAAGCTGAAGTTCAATTCTAACTTTTTTATTTTATCGATCAAGACCAACTTAATATTCTCTAAAATAGCATGCAACCGCATGACAAAAATTCACTGCACAGCACGCAAATAAATTCTGCTCTGTCAGGATTCAGCAAGCCCCCGGATAGTGTTTTGTGGAACATGCCCCGCTGATTCCTGCAGGTTCTCCACCTCTTCATGAGCTTTGACGTCTCCCATGGTTCAGGAGAGGATGCTCTGCTGGCATGGAGCTGAACAATCAGTTGATCTATTATGTTTTCTAATTCCAAATTCAAGCAAAAGACAAAATTAAACATTTGCTTTAAACTGTCTTTTAACCATCGTTCAGCAAATACCACCAGTCTCATATTTTGGTTTCTTACATTGAATTTGCAGCTTACATGTCAGTGCAATACTGTGAGCTTTAAAGTCAAAAACAACCCTCCTTTCTTCACAGCCTGCACCCACATCTCCTTAAGTGAACATATTTTTCCTTTTTAAATGGATTGATTCAAACAAGTATTAGTCTAACATACTAACTGCAAGCATCGCTGGGTATATAATGCTCAAGGATACATCACCTTTAACTTATGACGGAGATACTGACATATAGCAAAGCCAACACAAACGAACACGTCATGCAAAAATACATGCATTTCATCATAAGATGCGTATGCAGTTATTTCAAACAGATTCTAAATTTTAGCTGGGAAGTCTCACGCGGAAGCTGGCGGAGGCATGACCCATAAGTTTAAACATGAGCAGCCTGAGCCCCGCATCCTGGAATCTGTCGCCCAAAATATGGCAATCCATGTACTCTGTTGTATACATACCCGTTATGTTTTAAAAAATAATGTCCATTCCAGCCGGACACATTAAACATGTTCCTGACTGAAACAATGACATGAATGCTATAGTATGCGCTATGACGCAATATGTAATTACACGCGGTTTGACAATCCCGTACGGTGGCGTGTCACCAGCCAACAAGAACGTTTTACAACAGCTACCCTGACTGAAAATAGCGGTAAATGGCATTGATAAGAGGACTAGTTTAGATTAGACGAGAAAACAAAAATAACTTATCTCGAGCTGTGTTAATACAATTGTAAAAAGCGCGCGACACAATAATTTCGGAATACATACAGTATTGTTAAACAAGTTGATATTACATAGGTGTTAAATGACATGAAAGCAACACATAAAGAAACGAACTAACCTCTTAAATACCATGACATCTTGAAATTTTGATTTTTGATGATACAAGACCTCTTCTACTTGGAGACTCATTGCTTGCCCAGGCCATAGCGTACATGTCTCTGTGAACCATCCATCTTTTATACTATTCATTGTGTAGAAGTTTGGAGAGCTGAACACGCTACTTGTTTATAATAAAAATGCTATTTTAAGAATGCGGCCAAATAGCACACATCGGCTGACTAAACAGACCGGAGCAATACTGTAAGAAATACTTAGTAAAGCGATCCACAGATGGACACGTTTGGCGTAGTTCGTTGCAACCAAACTGCATGACGTATGAAACAACGAATCCCAAGATCCGGGTCCTAGGAGATTGTTTTGCAAACGTCCAATGGGAAGAGGAGGAAGGCGGGCTCAATGGTGGACACGTCTAGTTAGATTGACCCCTCAGCAGGTCAAGATTGCACGTGAAAGCTGTGGATAGACCGAACATTCAACGCCTGGGCGCAGTGTGTCACATGTAATTTTAAACCGCACAAGTAAATCTGTCGGAATGGTTTTTTTTTTTTGGTAAAGCGCAGTTATGAGATATGCGTCGCCTTTATGACTATGGTTGTATTTACAGCGCTTAAAGCATTTATGATGTATGGATTACCATGGGTACCTACGCAGAATTTTGTGTTAAATGTGTCAGTCTTATATTCTTCTTATTCATACACTTAAACTGGCATTTACGAGAACAAAACTGTATTGTTAAAAGTATTCCCTTGCAATTCATAAGCTAAAATTCTTGTAAATGCTGATGGTTTTGACTGAACTTCCCTTTGTACGCAATACAAGACTTTCAGTACGGGCTTCGGGGGAAATGTGACAGAAATCATACCGGTGGTTTTCTGCCATCTTTTTGTCATTTGCGCACCAGCCCAACTGAGGTTTTCCAAAGAAAGGATCGAGCACTTCCCTGGGCAGTTTGGCGACTTGCGGCTACCTCATGGTAACTCATATTTTCCAACCAGTGCTCTACACGGGACGTCGGCATGACCGCTCGGATTATTTCAGTTCATGGTTTATAATCTAAGAAACCCCATTAAACTGAAGCTACACCGTCACTATGACTCACATCTGGTATTTAAACAGTGGAGTTTCTAACTTTTAATTTACGCATCGTCTTCTCCAAGACCGCAGGTAGCCCGGATTTCTTCCACTGGCCCTTTATAACTTACGCTTGGATTTTGTATCTATTCAATACTGATTTACAGTCGCTTGTTTCCTGTCAGTAGTAATGCATAACCGCCGCCCCCCCCCCCCCCCGCACTGCAAATACCTGCCGCTGACCTTAGATTTCCATTCATAGGGAAACAACGTCATTTGCTCACAAAGCTGTGAAAACATCTGCATAGATAAATGTGATTTTTGTTATACCTTTTAGTGAGAGAGCGTTAGTGAGCTGCTCATGGCGCCGGAAGCTGGAACAGCCAATAGATTTTACTGAAGTTCTTTTTACCATTGTTTTGTAGCATTTGTACCACGTTTTTGTACCATTGGTAGCTATCAACAGCTAACAACAGTCTTTTTGGAGAAATACTCATAAAAGGTGTCTCAGCGATTGCAAGATAATTAACATCACACTATGTTGCTCTTACACAAAACAGACAAGACGAGATGCTGAAGCCCCTTGCTAAGCGGTAAGGTGTCTCTGGAACATCTCTCAGGGTCCATCTTACATCCGCCACAAATCACATCATAGTGACGGCTCTCGCACGCCCCCGGCGTCGCTTTCCCTGCGCCGCTGCCAACCTAAAGGGTGTCGGCACCTGCACTTCCAAATGAATGCGGGGAAACTTCGCCAAGCGATTATCTCGAGGATGGGTGCTGCTGTGCCCATCAGTTATGCATGAATCATGCAATGGCTTTCAGGTAAAGGACAAAAACAGGACATACCAGCAAAATGATGTTTATTGGCAAGTGTGTAAAGGGGCCAATAACTAAAAAGAAAGGATTAAAACATTTAAAATAAGCTTACAGTTAAACTATTAGGCGATTGCTGGAAACTTCCCTTAAACATCTGCGATGGAAAATGTAACTTAGAGAATAAAAAAACTGCACAACCAGGCTCAAGTGTCCAGTAATTGTCTTTGATAGTGGAGTTGATGGCAACTGATCAGACATCCAGTGAAGAGCTTCATCTTTTAGGCCAGTTATGCCTGAATCCCCTAGGGTGGAAAAAACAGGAACGTTTCAATGAATGGGATCAAACAGCCTTAAACACTGATCGTTTTCAGAGAACGTTATGCTGTCACCTCTCAGATTTTCCTGATAAATAAGACATGCTCTTGTTTCCCGCTGAAGGCTTGATTTTTTGCGATTTTGATGTTTTCTACAGAAGGAACAATAAAGGGATTTTATTGGTGCTTTCGTTAAAATGCTCAGGTAATTAAACTGTGACATATGAAGCCTGAAATACCTTCCGACCGGGGCCCTCAGCGTGTCTGTTGGGATCAAACTGTGTTCCCTCTTTTGTTTTCCCACCTTGAGGTAAAATAAATCAGGTTAACGTGAGATGAAAACACCCAGTAAATGACAAATTGTAAACAGAAATCCTGAAAGGCCCAATTCAGCCCTCGTCCGGCTCAGATTCTGTTTAGCCTTAACTGAGATTAAAATGAATAATATAAAACCTACATATTTCTGAGCACCCAGTTGTTTTTGAAGTCAATGACCTTAAGGAGGTGAATCTCTCATACAGGCTCCCCATAGATTCTCATTCAGATGAAAGTAACTCGCATTAGATTTACTAGTGTGTGACATCAAAATATGTTTGGTGCGATTTGAAAATTCTGCGTATTTCTGTCAAAAGCTTCATCAAGGAATTAACTGGAAGAAATCCTGACACTCCAATGGGTGACTGTAGCCAGGATACACAAAATGCCACAGTGGGGGGGGGGGGGCATTGTGGATGACTGACGTACCACTGAAAACCTTCAGCTGTGCCTGACTGTAGTCGTATGGCTTGAAGGTGCCAACAGGCGGGGCAGAGTCCGGGGGGGCTGGCTTCGCGGCTTTCTTCTTGGCTTTGGGGGGCTTTTCAGGAAGGTCATCTCTGTCACCTTCTCGCTTCTTTGCTCCCTGATTGGCAGCCATCTGTCAACAAAGATCAAAAGACAAAAGAGGATCATAAGATTCCTGAGATCTACAACCATTAACATACTTATCAGTTTAAGGATGTTGTTTGTGGCGATGCTGCTACAATTGCATGCATCCTTCAGAAACACGAGTGTGTATGTGTGTGTGTGTGTGTGTGTGTGAGAGTGTGTGCCTGTGTGTGTGTGCCTATGTGTGTGCGTGTGTGTGTGTGTACGTTACAGCGCACGGCCCCCCTCTGACCTGGGCCTGCTGCCGGACGGTCTTCACGTCCTTGAGTGAAGCCTGATAATCCTGCTCCACCTTCTGCTTTTCTTCTGAACGTGAAAAACACGATGCTTTAAAGACCACAGGGACAACAAACACTACAGTACAGCAGCTGAAGCCTGAATCTTAGTACAGGGAGCAGTGATCTGCAGGCAGGCACTGGCAGGGTCCTGTACACAGACTACAGGAGCCCAAAGGGACCCTCCTCAGGCCTTTAACAGCGCCTCCTGTCAGTCGTGGGCACAGTAAGCAGTACTATGGACTGAAATACGACGAAGAGCAGAAATGGAGATACTGTAAATGACATTTGCTTTGAAATAGGTGGGGAAGGAAGGCGACATTATAACAGATATGATGAGAGAGAGAATGGGGCCTCGCTAGCTATCAGGGAGCGGCTCGCACCCGCCGCCTTCCTGGCCGCCTCCTTGGCCCGGACCCGGGCTTCCCGCTGAGCCTCCGCCTCCTTCTTCTGCTGCTCCATGCTCTGCAGCTTCCACCTGTTACTGATCTGATGATAGAAACACAGACTTCACTGTCAGGTACCATGCACAGCCCTGTCTGCATGCGCATACAGGCCCAGACTGCGCACGCAACAGCCGTGTCCTGCCTGGGACACACACCCAGATTCTTAGCCGCTACGCCACCTGCTGCCCGCACTGCAGCACAGCCTCAGGCTCCATGCATATTTAAAATGGGGGGGCAGCATAAAGGCTAATTTAGCCTTAAAGTAAAACCACCACATACCTCGTAGACTTTTGATGTTGGATCGTATTTCGCCGTTTTGGAGATGTGTATATTATTATCCTTTGAGGGCAAGTACTGAAACACAGACATGCACAAACCAAATGTCAGGATGGGAAAATGAGAAGATGCTGCTACTGTAGAACGCAATCTAAGCAGCGAGCAAGAGACGGGCTGGCCTCATACCATCCTGAAAGGGTTCTGGAAGGATTCCATGATGCGGCACGCTTTCTGCTGCGCCACGGTGAAGGAGTCCCCGCCTTCTTTGTGCGAGTCAGGATCCTTTTTCCGAAGCAGGTCAAGAGCAGACAGCAAGTGTCAGGAAGAGCACCATCAGCACCCTGAGCCTTTAGGAACCAAACGGATCTTACCGCAAAGAGCGTGATTTTGGCGGAGGCCGAGAGGTGACTGATAGCTTCCGTGTCCCCTGTGTTGTCGTCCTCTGAGAAGAGCACGCCTCGCTTTTCCTCAACCCCTGAAGAAAGGAGCATTAAGGCATAATCGCTCTATTCCCTCTGCCAGCCAGAAGGGCAACCCTACAGTGCTGCCCTCCCTACAGTGCTACCCTCCCTACAGTGCTACCCTCCCTACAGTGCTGCCCTCCCTACAGTGCTACCCTCCCTACAGTGCTACCCTCACTGTAATAT